TGTGAAACATTCAAGGAACGCCGAGCCCCTCCCCAACGAAAAAAGGGTTCCTTCTTCAGCGACCCGACTGTACACCCTGCGAAATGCTTAAGAATTCATGGGTTAAGAAATTCATAGTCTCAGAACTTGAGTAAGAACCCAACATTTCTATCAAAATCTTAAGATTTACATTGAAACGTTAAGAATAATCGAGACTCTGGCCGAAAACTTAGGTTTTCTTAAGCATCGCCTAAGGTGTAGGCATCACCCCCCTCTTTGCCGCCCCCGCAGGGCACTGTCTGCCCCGGGGGCCGGCGGCGGCGGCGGCGGGCCCCGCGACGTCGCGCCATCTCGCGAGGCGAGGGCGGAGGGCGGAGGGCGGGGAGCCGGGGAGACTGAAGGGGCCCCAGGGCACACAAATAGATTAGAGGCCTCCTGGATGGGGTCGGAGTAGATGGGGTCGGAGGACCGCGCCGCATCGCCGATACATCGGCGATACATCGGCGATGCATCGGCGATGCATCGCCGATGCACCGGCGATGAGGCGTCGACGACAGCGATGTATCGGCGGCGTCGGCGTGGAGAAAATCGGGCTCCGCATCGAGCCGCATCGTCGATGCATCGGCGATGCGGCGCGATCCTCCGACCCCATCTACTCGGACCCCATCTAGGAGGCCTAGATAGATACACACAAAGAAAAAGATTCCCCCTATGTTTCCCTATTTTTTCTGGAGTTCTGTCTTCCCCCTCCCACTTCCCATTTTTTCTACATCTTTTGAGGTATCGAGGATGAATTGTGTCTGTGTGTTTTTGTTCCTCTCCTGGGAGGCGCAGGGCTCGGGCCCGCGGGGCCCGGGGGTTGGCCTGCCGGGGTTTGGAGGCCGCCGGGGGGCCCTGAGCCGTCGCGGCGGCGCGCTGCAGGGAGGGGGGGGGGCTCTTGAGAAGGGGGAGTCTTTCTTGTCTGGACGCCCGAAATAGAAGGCAAACAGACCTCCCTCGCTTTTGACCACCCTCGCTTCCAAGAGATACCAAGCGATGCCAAACGACGGCCTGTACTGGTCAGGCCGCTTGACGAGGAGGCGCGTGGTATGACTTGGCTTTGCATGGAAGCGAAAGCGGGGTAGGTAATTCACGCTCTGATTGTTGGGGGGCGGAAAGATACGGATACGTGTTGTCCCCGGACCTCTCTTGGGGTGCGTTCTGACCAGAATTTCGAGGCGAATCCAGCGGTGACAAAGAGGATTCCCCAGGAGGACCAGGAAAGGCCGAAAACGACGGGGGACAACACATATCCGTATCTTTTTCTCCCCCGATCTTGTATGGACGCCCGAAATGTGTACAGTCGGGGCGTTGACCTAAGGAACCCGAAACATGGAACGAGGCCCCCTCTCTCCAGAAGTTTTCAACTTCGACCTCCCATCGAAAGTCCAAGGATGACCTGGGGCAAAATGAATACAATGAAGGAACACGGAGCCCCTCCCCAACGAAAAGGGTTCCTTATTCAGAGCCCCGACCGTACGGAAAAAATGGGCACAATGCCCAACAACAAAGGTTGTCCCAAACCAACAGCGGCCGCCGTTGGGCAGGCGGCCTTCTGTCTCGAGTGGGTGGACACAGGCCGCGGCGGGGTGGACAGCGAATGCTGTTCAAAATTAACAGGAACTGCTGTTGGGCATTGTACCCACTCTTTCCGTACCCAGTTCGGGCGTCCAGATCTTGGAAGGCGCTGGCCCTACATCGACATAGAAGGCCCGCGCCTGCCAAGCAGCAGGGGTGAAGCCCTCCCCCCCTCCCCCCACCCCCCTCTGTGCGTGGCTGCTGGTCGGGACCCCAGAAAATCGGTCAGGAGGGGGGATGGGGCCAAATTGCTCAAAATCGGTCCCCGGAGCCAGGGTCCATCCGGTGCACTTCTTCACCCACGATCCGTTTCTGACGTTCCCCGGGCCCGAAAACGGCCCCCCAGAGGTCGAAAAAGCCAACAAACCTTCTGGAATTCAGCACCGTACCTGCCACCCCTTCCTGATGGCCGGAACCAATGCAGGGCCACCTCAGGCCCTCAGCCGACTCCGACCTGACGGGGCCGGTAGAAAAATGACGAGACCCAATTTTAAAGCTGACGCGACCTCCCGCTGCAAGCATCCCACAAACACTGGACCGTCAAAATCTGGGCGGGGCTCGTCGAAAAGCGTCGGCAAACCCAAGTTACGAGCGAACTCGAGCCTTGCGTTTCCCCAGCGAAGGGCAAAAGCAGTCGGGCAAACCGTTGACACGAGCTGCTCTGCTGGGAGTCTCGAGAGGTAAGGCCTGTCAGCTGCCAAGCTTAAACTGATTGTGGGTTGCGCGAAGCCCACAAGAAGATGAAGAAGACGAGCTCCAGCCGGAGCCCGAGCTCCGGCCGGATTCCTTGGATCGGCGCTGGTCCCCCTTCCTGGCGCGCGGAGCGCGCAAGAGGCGCCGCCAGGGAGGCCCAGCACCGATCCACGAAATGAACGCGGACTGTGAAAGCGTATGCGTATGCAGTTGTTTATTATTATGTTTATTATTACTATTCTTATTATTAGTATTATTATTAATAATATTATTATTATCATTATTATTAATATTATTCTTATCATTATTATTAATATTATTATTACTATTATTACTATTATTATTATTATTAGTGTGAGTATCATTGTTTTTTTTTTCTGAGTGTTGTCGGTATTGTTATTCTAGTTCGAAAGATAATATGATGATGAGGATAATGGTGGTGATGATGATGGTGATGATGATGATGATGGTGATGATGATGGTGATGAAGGTAATGATGGTGGTGACGACAGTGACAAAGACGACGACGGGTATGTTTGTGAACGATATGAATGAGCAGGTGCGCCATCGGCTCCAACAGTCGAGGTGCTCCATCTTTCCCCGCGAGGGTGATGATGATGATGATGATGTAGGGATGATGATGAGGTGATGATGATGATAGTGAAGATGAAGAAAGTGGTGATGATGTTGATGATGGCATTGATGACGATGATGCTGCTGATGATGACGATGATGATGATGATTGTTATGAGGGCGAAATCGAGGCTGGCGGTGGTTGCGATAGCAGACCTGATGGCGACGCAAGCGGCGATGGCGATGGTGATGATGGTGATGCTGATGGGCAAAGCGCTGAGATGAGGCCTCCAACTCCTCCTCCTCCCTCCTCCTCCTCGCTCCTCGCTCCTCCTCCTCCTCCTCCTCCTCCTCCTCCTCCTCCTCCTCCTCCTCCTCCTCCTCCTCCCCCACCCCTGCTCCTCCTCCGACCCCGCGTTGAAAGGACCAAGACATCGCATGTCTAGGAAGGGGGTGGGGTCAGAGGGAGGAGGGGAGGCACGGGGAGTGGGAACTGGCGCCAGCACCCCCGTGGACAACCACTGCGTCCCTCGTATGCTGGGCGCTCCTTCCCGCTCCAAGCCGGCCGCGCCTGGCAGGTGCAGCGGCCAGAGTGCGAGTGCAGCCATGCGCGAGCAGGAGAAAGAAAAGGAGAGAGGCCAGACGAGAGCGGCACCCCTCGGGGAGACTTTGTGCACCCCGTGGGCGCTCTCGTGCGTCGGGCCCAGGAACAGAGGAGGGGCAAGAGGGAGGGAGAGGTCAGAGTGAAGGGAATGGGTCCTGAAGTAACCAAGCCCTGGACCCTGGGGCAGTCTCCCATGATCAACGCTTCATCCTGCATCGTTTCTTCAGGAACTGGGGCGCTTGGGAAAGCCCCGAAAACCCGCAAGCGCAGAAAAACCTAAGACCCGATTCCCTCAGGATCCGCGTGCTTCATTAGAAGCCCTCTAGATAGGGTCGGAGGATCGCGCCGCATCGGCGAGGCATCGCCGATGCGTCGGCGTGAAGAAGGACGGGCTCTACATCGCGCCAGATCGCCGATGCATGGGCGATGCGGCGCGATTCTCCGACCCCATCAACTCTGATGCCATCTGGGGGACCTGGATCATTGGGGGTACATAACGTTGGGTCGATTGTTGTATCTTTGTGCAAAATATGAAAGGTCGTTTTAAGAACTGGTATGTTTCTCACGTGGATTGGGTTATGCCGCGTCTGCCAGCGAAATTCTCAGGCCCGCATCTGCAGTATTACTATTATTAAAACACTTGCTGGAGCCGACTTAGGCCTCGACCGACTGGACTGCTCGAGTCGCTGGCACCCGAACTCTCGTCGATGGAGGACGACGGGGAGGGACAGGAGGAGGAGGAGGAGGAGGAGGAGGAGGAGGAGGAGGAGGAGGAGAGGAGGAGGAAGAGGAGGAGGAGGAGGAGGAGGAGGAGAAGGAGGAGACCGACTGGACTTCTCGAGTCGCTGGCACCCGAACTCTCGACGACTTCCAAGGGAGGCCTGGTCCGTTCGTTTTTGACGGCCCCACGACCCAGAGACGGCCACCACACAGGCCAAAAACTGATGGGAGACGGAAGGCCAGCGAGATGGCTCCCTGTCAACAGAGGTCCAGGGAAGCGGATTGGGGAGAAAGGGGGAGGAGGAGGAGAAGGAGGAGGCGGAGGAGGAGGAGGAGGAGGGAGAGAGAGAGGAGAATGAGTGAGCGGGAGGAGGAAGAGGGAGAGGGAGAGGAGAGGACAGGAGAGGAGAGGAGGAGGGAAAAGGAAGGCGGGACAGGGAGGAGGCAGGGTGAAAGCGGCAAGGCACCTGCAAGCCTGCACCCCCTGGAGAGACTTCGTGCACTCCAGGGGGAGTCCTTCGTGCGTCTGGCCCAGAGGCGCGCTTTACCTCCTCACCCCCTTCATCCTCCTGCTGCTGCTCTTGCTGGTGGCTTTGGGACCGTCAGGCGGCGCAGCCATCCCCCCCCTCCTCCTCCTGCTCCTCCTGCTCCTCCTCCTCCTCCTCCTCCTCCTCCTCCTCCTCCTCCTCCTCCTCCTCCTCCCTATATCGCTACGCGATCAGGCAGAGTCTCCAGAGTCTCCTCCTCCTCCTCCTCTTCCTCCTTCTCCTCCTCCTGCCCCTCCCCGTCGTCCTCCATCGACCCCCCCCCCGTCCAGGAGCCGCATCCTCCCCCCGCGGCGGTGCCCAAAAACGACGTGGCCGCGGCGAGGGAACGCCTGGCAGAGAGAGAGGGAATGCGAGCAACTAAGATAGAGGCCTCCTAGATGGGGTCCGAGTAGATGGGGTCGGAGGATCGCGCCGCATCGCCGAAGCATCGGCGATGCATCGGCGATGTACCAGCGATGCATCGGCGGTGCATCGTCGACGTCGGAGATGCATCGGCGACGTCGACGTGGAGCAAGTCGGGCTCCACATCGAGTCGCATCGCCGATGCATCGGCGATGCGGAGCGATCCTTCGACCCCATCTACTCGGAGCCCATCTAGGAGGCTTAGATGGCCCATCTAGGAGGACTAGATGGGCGGCGCTTCCGGCGCGGAGGTGGCAAGGACGGAGGAGGACGAGTGGTGCCGAGGCCTGTGGCGACTCGGAACAGGAAGAGACGCACCAGAAGATGTTAGTAATGTTCTGCATCTGGAGGCCCAGGGATCGCCAAAACGACTCGGGAGGGGCAGGAGGAGGAGGAGCACGAGGAAGAGCAGGAGCACGAGGAGTGGGAGCAGGAGGAGGAGCAGGAGGATGAGGAGGAGAGGAGTGGAGAAGAGGAGGGGAGGAGTAGGGCAGAGAGAAGCAGGAGGAGGAGGAGAGAAGGAGAAGGGCAAGCTAGGCGCGCAAGCGTTCTTTGACGTCCTATCCCTTATTCCCGTCCCTTACCGTGACGTAGATATCCTCTATATTCGCACAGTCGAACACCGAGCAAGGCAATGATCTCGAGAGGGTACGAGATGCATGGTAGTGCACGGCGCAGTACGGCGTAGAAGAGCACGGCATAGCGTAAAGTGTCATAGCATGGCCTGACATTGCGTAGTGGCGCATTGCAATGCAAAGCATGGCATCGCAGAGAGACGGTTCGGAAAGAGCGGAAGCGGAAAATCAACGCTGTAGCGGAAACACGATTTGGAAGATCTGCAACAAAGAAATGAGGTCAGCGCTGCAGCGGGAGTATGATTGAGAAGGGCCGAGAGCCAGGAAGTAGAGCCAAAGCTTTAGCGGGAACGACATTCTGAAAACACCGACACCGACAATGTTGGGACTGGAAGAACACCTACGATCGATTACGTGCTGGGGATCCGATGTTCGAAACAAAACTACGCGAAGGGGGGGCAGAGGCTACGACAGCGGGGTCGTCGTGGGGAGAGAGAACTCGTATGTATATTGTGTACTAATGGAGGGGTAGGGGGACGAGGGGCAAGAGAATGAGCGGGGCGCCCCCAGGGGGAGACAACGGGAGGAGGGAACCAGGAGAGGGATGGAGGAGGGGCAGAGGAGAAGCGGAGGAGGGGAGGAGGAGACGGGAAGAGGAAGAAGGGAGCGGAGGGAAGGACGGGGAGGGAGGAAGGTGGAGAGAGCGGAGGAACCCGCAGAAGCCTCAGCTGTCCTCCACGCCGATCTCGTAGTCGAGGTTGCCGTCGTGGTCGACGACGTCGTCGACGATGCCGGCCACGAGCTCGTGCTGCTCCAGGAGCCGCTCGAGGCAGGGCTGCTCCACAAACTTCAGGCCCTTGGCGCGGCACTCCGCGCCTGCCGCGACCCACCTCAGCGCCTGGAGGAGCAACAATGAATGGGCCCCAGGACACACAAATAAAAATACACACAAATAAAAGGATTCCCCATATTTTCCCATACTTTCTGGGTTTCTGTCTTCCCCCCACATCCCATATTTTCCTATATGTTCTGGGGAATCGACGATGAATTGTGTCTGTGTGTTTTTTTCCCTCCTGAAACAAGCGGCACAAACGTAAAGTTTCGAAGCTCCACGCAGAGTTCTTGGATCTCCGCGGGAGGCGCTGCCAGGGCGGTCTGGCGCCGGTCCGAACAGTTATGCTTGTGCCTTTTCTCTTCTTCGAGCGCCTCCATCTCGTGCTCCGCGTCGCCTACCGACACAATGTTGCGCCGCAAGGCCACGTCTTGCTCGCCGAGGGCGCCGTAGAACTCGTTCACCAGCTCCTCCGCTCGTTGAGGGCTTAACGACGAATGCTGGCCTTCGATTCGCGCTGGAGCTTCCACGAGTTGTTCCAGCTTTACCAAAATTTCTCTGGATGCATCCAGGTGTTTCTGGATTGGACTTGCAGCGACTTGCTTCGATTTGTCTGACTTGATCGCCGCAAATCGACTGGAGAAGAGTCAACCCCTGAGGGGCTCTACCACCCCGGAAGTCAGCCACCAGAACCTGTCCCAAGGGGGCGCTGTGGCCAGAGTGCCGACGCGCACCTGGCCAGGCTGGCCCACAGAGGGCCAATGACTGCGAAATTCATCCCCCGAGCTCCTCCTCCTCCTCCTCCTCCTCCTCCTCCTCCTCCTCCTCCTTCCTCCTCCTCCTCCTCCTCCTCCTCCTCCTCCTCCTCCTCCTCCTCCTCCTCCTCCTCCTCCTCCTCCTCCTCCTCCTCCTCCTCCTCCACAATTACTCAATATGAATACTACTCTCCCTCTTCCCCTGATGACGTGCTGGGAGTGTTCGACCCCCCCCCCCCGCGTACTGTTTTTTACACACAGGATTCCCGGGAGTTGGGTTTTCGCTTGCATTTTTTTCAAAATGCTGCTCTCGCTGAGGCGCCGGCCTCATTTTCGGGCCCCGCTCGTTCCGAATCGTGCTCCCGCTGCAGCGCTGGCCTCATTTCCGTGCTTCCGCTCGTTCCGAATCGTGCTCCCGCTGCAGCGCTGGCCTCATTTCCGCGCTTCCGCTCGTTTCGACTCGTGCTCCCGCTGCAGCGCTGGCGTCATTTCCCGTGCCATGCCACGGCATGCAATGCAATGCTAGGTTGATACTACGCTTTGCGGTGCTCTTCTACGCCATGCCATGCCGTGCTCTACAATGCATCGCGTACCCTTTCGGGATCATTGCCCTGCTCGACATCCGACTGTGCGAGTAGAGAGGGGATCTACGCCATGGTAAGGGATGGGAGGGAGGGGTAGGATGTCAGATATGACGCGAGCGCACCTAGCTTGTCCTCCTCCCTCCTCTCCTCCTCCTCCTCCTCCTCTCCTCTTTCTCCTGCTCCTGCTCCTCCTCCCCCCTCCGCCTCCTCCTCCTCCTCCTCCTCCTCCTCCTCCTCCTCCCTCCCTCCCCCTCCTCCTCCCCCTCCTCCTCCTCCTCCTCCTCCTCCTCCTCCTCCTCCTCCTCCTCCTCCTCCTCCTCCTCCTCCTCTCCCTCCTCCTCCTCCCCACTCATCCTGCTATTCCCTCCTCTCCGTCTCCTCCCTCCTCCTCCTCCTCCTCCTCCTCCTCCTCCTCCTCCTTATCATCAGCATCATCATCATCATCATCATCATCATCATCATCATCATCAGCATCATCATCATCATCACCATCAGCATCATCATCATCATCAGCATCATCATCATCATCATCAGCAGCAGCATCCTCCTCCTCCACCACATCGTCCTCTGTCATCCTTTGTCCTTGTAAAAAAACTCATCCCTGTCGCAGCCCCAGACGAGTTGGTAGGGCGGCCCGGGCGTTTCACCTGAGACTTCCGCACCATGTATGATCCTGAAGTTTGAAATGTGATTGACATGTGTTGCAACAGTTTCGAGGAAGATGAAGGCAGGTCCTTTCAACGTTTGCAGCAGCTCCAAGGATCGAGGGCGGGGCCTTTTCAAAATGAGGCTCGAGCCTCTGCGCTGAACACATGTGTCAGTTTCAGGAATGGAGGGCGGGTTCTTTTCAAAATGTGGCTCTCGCCTTAGCGCATCGCGCATTCCTCTTCAAAGTTCGCAACCGCTTCAAAGTGTAAGTCTCAGGGATGGCGTGCGGCACAAGGTAGGAACGTCAAGACGCAACAGTCACTGTGATTCGGGGTGTTGAAGTTCCAGGAACGGTGTTTTTGCACGATTTAAGACTGTCTGGACGCAACAGACACGTTGATTCGTGGCGCCGAAGTCCCACGAATGGTGTTCTAGCGCCATGAACAATTATCAGACGGGTGTCCCACGATGAGGAATTGCGGTAATGACAACAAATTCTTGTAGCAAACTATGAAGAGGGAACTTGGAGGAAGGGTCATGGCAAAATGGTTACAGCGTCTTGGGTTTACACTTGCCCTCCTGCTCCTCCTGCAATTCCTCCTCCTCCTCCTCTCCCTCCTCCTCCTCCTCCTCCTCCTCCTCCTCCTCCTCCTCCTCCTCCTCCTCATCATCATCATCATCATCATCATCATCATCATCATCATCATCATCATCATCATCATCATCATCATCATCATCCTTCTCTTCCTCTTCCTCTTCCTCCTGCAACTCCTCCTCGTCCTCCTCGTCCTCCTGTTCCAACTCCTCCCCGAAAAAAACGCGACTGGAGCCCCAGACCCCGTCTTTCTGCGGCGCGTGTCTGGCCAAAACGATGTGTGATGGATCCGTGGCCCGAAACCGATCGAGCATGCCCAGTGTGAAACACTGCAACAGCGCGAGCCGCGCCCGCACGCCCCCGGCGCCCGACGGCCACCAGAGAGGGCCCAGGCGTGGTTGCACTTGCTGCGCAGGAGCGGGCGCGGCCCCAGACCCCTCCTCCTCCTCCTCCTCCTCCTCCTCCTCCCTTCCTCCTCCCCCCTCCTCCTCCTTTCTCCTCCTCCTCCTCCTCCTCCTCCTCCTCCTCCTCCTCCTCCTCCTCCTCCTCCTTCCTCCTTCCTCCTTCCTCCTCCTCCTCCTCCTCCACCCCCTCCTCCTGGCTCGAGGTCCTCCTGGCGGCGCGCGGCGGGCGCGCGCTTGGGTGCCACGGGGATCCGATACCGCCAGGCCTCCGTCGACATGCACGGCCTCAAGCGCCTTCGGCGCGGCCGACTGTACTTCGCGAAGAACTGCGAGAGCGGGGCAGCGAAGCTGGAGCCCAAAGATCAAGGTCGAGCCCAATGCCATCACCTACAGCGTGGCGATCAGGGCATGTTCGGGCGAAGTCGCAGCCCGACCGCCAGGCAAGTTTTCCAGTCGCATTTTGACGCATCCCGTGTATCGCACTGCGTGAGCGAGACGAGGGAGGCGATGCTGGAGCCCGAGTTCTACAACTACTGCCCCAGGAGCAGCGAGTGCGAGAAGGAAGGGCAGTCGCGGCCGGTTTCGCCACACTCCGCGAGCGCCCAAGAGGACAGGAACGCGGAAGGACGAGCCCAAATGCCATCGCCTACTACGTTGGGATCAGGGCATTCCAGAGGATGCTAGACGCATGCGAGACGTGGGAGGCGAAGCTGGAGCCCCGAGCTGCAGCTACAGCCCCGGGTTGCAGCGCGTGCGTGAGTGCAGGGCACTGGCGGCCGTGGTCGCCACGCCCCGGGCGTGCCCCAAGGGAGGGCATGCAGAAGGACGAGCCCAATGCCATCACCTACAGTCGGGGCGTTGACCTAAGGAATCCCAAATAAGGAACGAGGCTCCTCTTTTCCATAAGCTAAACTTCGATGTCCGATCGAAAACATACGGAAAACCTGAGGCAAGCTGCGAAACACGTAAGGAACGCGGAGCCCCTCCCCAACGAAAAGGGTTCCTTCTTCAGGGCCCCGACTGTACTGTTCTGGTATCTGGGCATTTGGGAGCCGAGGTCGCAGACCGACGTCGCCAGCTCAGATCCTCGGAGCTTGACTGAAGCCCACACATCTTCTTGCCGTGCGTGTGCGCGTGCGCGCTGTCTGCACGTGTGTCAGGCGTCCCGCTTCAGGGGGAAGGCGCATTCTCCCGCGACGGGGCCCTTCATCGCCCTTTTGAGTGTGCGGGCAGCGTTCTGCCGTCTCTGCGGCTCTCTGGCGCAGCCTCGGCCGCACGAGATTTCGGGTTAGGGCCGGGTCGGCCAACCCTTAGCCTCCCTCCTCAGCCAACTGCTGGTCCTCCTCCTCCTCCTCCTCCTCCTCCTCCTCCTCCTCCTCCTCCTCCTCCTCCTCCCTCCTCCTCCTCCGGGCTCCTCGAACGCGAGGCACTTCCACGTCGTGGGCGCAAACACGCCGGGCTTCTCGTGGCGCGAGCGCGCGGAGACGACCCTGACGCCCGCGAGGTGCGCCCGCAGGGAGGGCAGGATCGCCTCGCAGCTCGCCTCCACCCAGCCCTGCTCGGCGTTGGTCACGACGGCCCGCGGCTCGCGCAGCCGGGGGGCAGGAGCACTCGGCACTGGCTCGGGAAGCCAGATCGAAACGGAACGTGCATCGGCTCGACCCGAACTGGCGGCGCGCAGGGGGGGTAGGGGGAGGGGGGGAGGTGTCTTAGAAGCAGGGGAGCTTCTAAGAAGCCTTCCCCCTCCTGCTACCCCCCCCCCCCTGCGAGTGGCTGACCGCATTGAAGCACGGAGTCGGAGTCGCATCGCATCGAAGCGGCGCCGGGATGCACGACAGCACCATGCAGGTATCCGGCCAGGAGAGCCCAGAATCGAATCGATAAGTCGGATCGGCGATCGGCATGAGTCGGATCGGCGGAAATCGGCAGCCGACTCAGGAAAAGTCGAATCGACGGAAATCGGCAGGCTAGTAGGCCTCCATCTAATCGAATCGGGATCAGAACCCATCGAAGTCGAATCGAATCGATCGAATCGAATCGGAGAAACCGAAACGAACCCTGTCGGCCTGCACCGAAACGGACCTGTACTCTTAATATTAGTAATATTGTGATTAGTATCCGTATTACTAATATACATATATTAGTATTGTTAATATTATTATTACTATTACTAATACTGATACGATTATTATTTATATTATCCATATTCATATTATTCTTATAACTACTACTAGTAGTAGTAATCTGGAAAACATTATTAGTTCGAGTATTATTCTTAATAATAGTAATAATATTAGTATTATTATGAATGATATTAATTATTATTATGATTACTCGTATGATTATTATTCGTCCTCCTCCTCCTCCTCCTCCTCCTCCTCCTCCTCCTCCTCCCCCTCCTCCCCCTCCTCCCCCCTCCTCCCCCTCTCCTCCTCCTCCCTCCTCCTCCTCCTCCTCCTCCTCCTCCTCCTCCTCCTCCTCCTCCTCCTCCTCCTCCTCCTCCTCCTCCTCCTCCTCCTCCTCCTCCTCCTCCTCTCCTCCCATCCTCCTCCTCCTCCTCCTCCTCCTCCTCCTCTCCTCTTCCTCCTCCTCCTCCTCCTCCTCCTCCTCCTCCTCCTCCTCCTCTTCCTCCTCCTCCCTCTCGTCCTCCTATTCCTCCTCCTCCTCCTATTCCTCCTCCTCCTCCTCCTCCTCCTCCTCCTCCTCCTCCTCCTCCTCCTCCTCCTCCTCCTCCTCCTCCTCCTCCTCCTCCTCCTCCTCCTCCCCCTCCCCTCCCCCTCCCCCTCCCCTCCCCCTGGGAGCCCGTCCCTCCCTCGCGCTGCCCCGGAGCCAGTCCCCCCCACCGGCCCTCCGCGCCCCCCCCGTGCGAGCCGCCCAGATGGCCACGCCGCCACGCCTCTTCGCCCTCTCGAGCGTCACGGCGACCGCGTCCGCCAGGGCCTCCAGCCGCTCGTCCTGCTCCGGGGTGATCACGGCGTCCTCGTCGAGGAGGCCCTGCGCCCTGAGCCACGAGGTCAGAAGAATAGAAAGCAGCACAAACACAAGCTCATGGCGCAACGCGCGGAATTCTCGGATCTGCGCTGGACCCCCCCTCTCCTGGCGCGCCTCCCGCGCCAGGGGCGGCGCTGGAGGCGCCGCCGGGAGAGGGGGCCCCACGCGGATCCAGGAAATCCGCGCGGAACGCCAAAGATTGTGCGTATTGAGCATCGTCTATCCGACCCCCATCCCCAGCGGCGTGGCCTGGACCCCACTGGCCGATTTACCCGCCCTGTAGAGGGATATGGGCCGTTCCGTTCGGTTTCGAGGGGCGCGTCTCCAAGGGGGATGAGCACGGGGGGGGGGGGGGGCCGGTGAAAGGATACGAGTGTGTGCCCGTGGCGCTGTGTATTCTTCCAGAGGTGGGGAACAGCGTGTCGTCCCAGTCGAAGACGATCAGGTTCTCGCACGGCGGCAGCCACGCGAGGCGGTCCTGGCCTCGGCCCTCGCAAGGCGGGGCGTCGCTCCCGGGCTCGGTGGACACCTCGGAGCTCGCGCCGTCGTCCTCGGAGGCGAGGCGACGGAGGGGGCCCACAGACACACAAATAGATGGACACAGAACCCAGGCGGCCCATCAATTTTTTCCATGTTCTCTGCCTTCTCGTCCTCCCCCCACTGCCCACGTTTTCCCATATCTTCCTGGGAATCGACGATTCATTGTGTCCGTGTGTTTCTTCCCCTCCTGAATGACGGAAGAAGAAAAAAGGACCGTCACCTGAACCGTCGGAGCTCCGCGCGGACTTCCTTTTTATGTGGCCTCTCCCGGGAGCCCTGGATGCACCCATACACTGCTCTTTAGCTGCCACCTCAGGAGCTGCCAGCTGTCTCCTTCATGGGCCTGTTTTCCACCACCACCACCATAAGTTGGAGGGGGGAAGGAGGTAGAGGATGAGGAGGAGGACGAGGAGGAGGAGGAGGACCCCCTCCCCCTCCCACTTATGGTAGTGGTGGTGGAAAACACGCCCACCACTCCTATAGGAGCCGCCAGCATCCGACGCCATGAAAGGTGCAGCCAAGGCTCAAGGGAAAAGCCACGCAATTCCCGCATCCGCGACGGGCCCGGCCCCTGGAGCGCGGAGCGCGCCAGGGGCGGCGCTGGAGGCGCCGCCGGGGGGGGCCGGCGCGCAGAACTTGGAACTCCGTGCAGAGCTCTGAGATGGACTGCTTATGCACAGGGGGAAAGCAAACCTACCTCGCTTTTGACCACCCTCGCTTCCCAGAGATACCAAACGATGCTAAATTGCAGCCTGTACTGGTCAGGCCGCTTGACGAGGAGGCGCGTGGTATGGCTTGGTTTTGCCTGGAAGCGAAAGCGGGGTAGGTAACTCACGCTCTGAATGCAGTTTTTCTTCTTCCGGATGAGCAGCCTTGCTGCTGCCATCGCATCCCAGCTCGGCCTCGTCCGGCTGCACGCGGTGCTGGGAGCAAGGGTGGGGCATGGCGCCACCCTGGGCAGGGCAAGGTCTCCTCGGCAGGCGGCAGCCTTCCCAGGCAAGGAGCCCAAAACAACTGATCAGAACTGGTACAGGCATACATGTGAATACATGTGTACAAGTGTTTCCATTTATCTATAGATATATATATATATACATGTATGTCTATATATATATATACATGTGTATGTATATCTCTATATATCTATACATATATATAACTATCGATATATATATATATATATATGCATATATATATATATATATATGTCTATATATATGTATATATATACACACTACATCTGTCTATGTAAATGCTTGTGGTAGGGGCGGCTCCTGAGATCCGCGTTTGACGCTGATACTTTGAATACAGTCCCCTTTGTCTCTCCCTTAGCCATAATAGGGATCAATGCACAAACCTGTTACAAAAGGACTCGTCTTGCGAATCCACCACAACTGATACAGATGATCAATCCGCCGCTGTGCTTTCTGCACACGCGCGCGGAACAGAAGGCTCGTCGTGAAAAGTATGTGGTCCACTCTGGCCGGCATCCCTGACCCTACTACCCCGCACGAACTCACGCCCTGACTGTTCCATCCGAGGGCTCATCTTCATCATCATCAGAATCACCATAATCATCATAATCATCATCATCATCATCATCATCATCATCATCATCATCAGCATCATCAGCAGCATCATCATCGTCATCGTCAGAATCATCATCATCAGCATCATCAGCATCATCATCATCATCAGAATCATCAGCATCAGCATCATCATCATTCTTGACCTCTGGCCCTCCTCATCCTGCTCCTCAATCTGCTCTCCCACACATTGCCCTCCTCCCCCTACCCCAGACTCAACCACACCTAAAACTGATCCCCGTGACCCCTCCCACGCGGTCCATTCCCGCCCGTTGTCCAAGCTGCGTCCACCTATGAGGCTCGATGTATACGCCACGTCGTCTGGTCGACCAAGACGCTGGGTGAGTAGACGCCCCGGCGCCCCAGCCTGTGGGCCGCAGGAACGTCTGTGCACCGCATCCCTTCGCGGAAGGCATTGGCCCATTGGCCGATCAAGCGACGCGGCGTATAAGATGTCGAGCCCATCTGGCCAACTGTGACCAAGAGGCCCCCCCCTAAGCCACAAAAACAGGAAGGTTGTAGGATTGGAAATGAACACCAACGCCAAAGCAGGAGGTTGCCTCGGGGCAGCATGGTCCTAGATCTTGGTGTTGGTGGTAAGCTTCTGGTCGCCCAGAAGCCCGGCTCTTACCACGATCACCGAGATCGGGATCATCTTCCCTCGTTGGTAGAGGCATCCTAGATGGGGTCGGAGTAGATGGGGTCAGAGGATCGCGCCGCATCGGCGATACATCGGCGATGCATCGGCGATGCGCTGGCGATGCATCGGCGACGTCGCCGATGCATCGGCGACATCCGCGCGAAGAAAATCGGGCTTCGTATTGAGCTGCATCGGCGATGCATCGGCGATGCGGCGCGATCCTCCGAAACTCCGACCACATCTAGGAGGCCTGGAGCTGGAGGCACAACGCCGATATTGGTGTTGGTGCCAACCTCGGGGCCTCCGAGAGAGCACAAGAACGTCATCTGCGCCGGGCCGCCCCGCCAGCGCACAGGAGCGAGGAGGGAGGAGGGAGGAGGATCGAGGGAAGAGAGAGGAGGGAGAAGGGGGCAGGGAGGGGGGAAGAGAGAGGAGGGAGGAGGGGGGAGGGAGGGAGTAGGGGGGAGGGAGGAGGGAGAAGGGGGCAGGGAGGGGGGAAGAGAGAGGAGGGAGGAGGATCGAGGGAAGAGAGAGGAGGGAAGAGAGAGGAGGGAGAAGGGGGCAGGGAGGGGGGGGGGGGGGGGCGACAACTCAGGCGCGCAGGGCAGTGCTGAGGGGGGGGGAGACCGAAGTGGGGAACGATGTGCAGGGCCTCACAAGTACTCTCCACCACCACCCCGCTCCCCCCCCCCCCCCTCCCCCAGGAGAGGGGAGGGGAAGAGGTTCCCCCCCCCCCCTCCCAGGAAAGAGGGGGGACGAGGAGGGAGGCGCAGGGAGAGGGGGAATGTGCGAGGCGGGGATGTGTCCATATCCACCGCCTGGGAACCGACGTCCTGGTGCCCCAGCGGGCGGTGGTTATGGCTACATTTCGGCCCCCGGGGGCCCGAATGTGTCCATACCCACCGCCCGCCGAGGCTCCGAAAACTGACCCTCCAGGCGGTGGATGTGGATAAATTCCCGCCTCGGAGAACGGCGGTGGCGGTGGTGTGATGTGCCCCTAAGGGGCCCGCGCGATGGGGAGGGGCCCATGGGAGGGGAAGGAGGTTCCCCCCCCCCTCCCAGGAAGGGGGAGGGGAAGGGGTGAAGGGGTCCCCCCCCCCTCCCAGGAGAGGGCAGGGGAAGAGGGAGGGGGGCGCAGGGAGGGGGAACATGCCATGGAGGCGGCGGCGGTGTGCCCCCAAGGGGGCCCGCGCGACGGGGAGGGAGGGGGGCTCCGGGAGGCAGAGGAGGCCTCGCCGGCGGGGCGGCGGTGGGCCCCCGACGGCCCCCTCGGGGCCCCGAGCGGCAGGGAGGGGGCGCCGCGCGGGGCCACAGAAGGGGCCCGTGGGGCACGCAGAGAGCTGCACACGGCTAACGAGGATCCCCACAGCTTCTCGCATGCAGTTAGAAAGAAATTATCAGACGCGATAGTCTGAAGTATCCAGATGCCCGAACAGAGTTGGAACCAGAAAACTATTCGTACTCTATTATTTTTCAGGAAGACGATGCCTTTCTTGATCCTTTCTCTCCTTCGCCCCCCTCATATGTCCTCCCCGTACCTCTCATACGGCAGGAATTTCTCACATATCTCTGATTACCGCATTCCCATTCTCAGTGGAAGGCTTCCCCAGATTCTCTCGCACGTTCTGGGCCTTCGTCTGCCCCCGCCCCCCTCACTTCCCATGGCATCCCATGCGTTGTCGGGAATCGACGGTTCATTGTCTGTGTGTGTGTTTGTCCCACCTGAGTTACGTTGCGCGCCCATCGCACTCGAGGACCACATCCCAGAAGTAGTTTCGAGCACCCAGCAGAGTGTCAAAGCAAAGTCGAACGAGTATCGCCTCCCGGGCCCGGCACGTGAAAACCCGCCGGTTTCGGTGCTTTTCCTGGTGCCCGAAAGTCTGTCTGGTGGTCAAGGGTGAAGTAGGTTGGAACATCATGAGCTGTGTTTCCCCACCATCCTGTGGTGTTGGGTCCTCGTTTTGAAAGAGACAGCGCCCCGCATCCTCACTCCTCCCGCTTCCCCCTCCTCCATCTCTCGTCCCGTCACCCCCCTCACTTTGGCAAACCCCTCACACGCGGCCCCAGTGGCAGGATCCGCATGCGGTTCCCCGCCCATTTCGGCACACCTCTCACACGCTTCGTGGCCCCATAGGGAGGACCGTCGAACGATGGACCCAGAACACTGTATACACAACTGCTTATGGTTGGGTCCTTCGTCACGCCAATTTTCAACTAGACTGGGCGACGAATCACTGGAGAAATCTGCGATGCGCGTGCAGAACGCAACGCTGACGGGCCTAAGGTAGAGGCGGTGGTTCCAACCACACAAGCCCGCTCCTGACCGCTACTGCTGCGATGCGGAGCACACCACGCACATGGCCTGGTTCAGAAAATGTGAAAACGTCAACTTGTTGCCCCCAAAAAAGCCAAGACGCTAGCCGAAGGGAGCTTGTACTCATGCGCGAGGGCCTCCCGCGCGACCTCCAGAAGCTTGTGCTCATCCAAACGCTTGTGCTTCGCCCTCCACCATCTCCTCCACCTCCTTCTCTAGTAATTCGATCCCGATCCAATCCGACAACACTTGCACGCCCCCCTCCCACAGTAATTTTGCAAGCTGAGGGGGACAATGGCCATGGCTTCGAAGCCTGCGCTGAAGTATAGTGCGATGCTGGACTTGGATTGGAACCACCCAGATTGGGCGGCCATCGGCCAGCTATGGCATGCCATGCTATGTTATAGTATGCTAGATATATATATATATATATACTAGAACCACACGCGCGCTTCGCGCGCTTAGGTTCTAGTCACGGCTGCGCCACGTCTTGCTGCTCTCGTTTTCGATCATGTAATTATCGACGACGACGACGAAGACGACGGCGGCGGCGACGAGTGACGACGAAGGCGACGATGACGACGACGACGATCATGACGACGACGACCGCCACCACCACGACGATGACGACGCCGACGACGACGACGACGACGACGACGACGACGACGTCCACGTAGTGACTCGTTGAATGCGGGGTTGCTGAAGTGTCCCCGAGGTCCCGACAACTTCCATAGACCCAGAGTTTCGTCGTAAATGTTTGACGGTCCCGGAGCCCGTGACGGGCCTCAGGAAGCCGAGAGTTGCCTGGAAGCTTTGGGAGCGCTAAGAGTACCTGAGGGCGTCTGGGGAGGGGGCTCTTGGGGGCCTCTTGGGGATTCCTGGGAACCTCTTGGGAATTCTTGGGAGCCTTTGGGGGGCATCTTGGATGCCTCTTGGGCCGTCTTGGGCCGGTTGGGGGGCTGTCTGCGGACCATCTTCGGCTGCCTGGGGGGCTCTTGGAGGCCTCTTGGGGGCCTGTGGGGGGCCTCTTGAAGCATTCTGGATGCTTTGGGAGGCCTTCTGGGAGTCTCCGAGGGCTCTCTTTGGGGAGGAAGGCTGGAAATGTTAGGTCGGGTACCCCTGTGAGCCCTTTCTGGGAGCGGTCCTGGGGCCTTCTTGGGCTGTCTTGGGGGCCTCTAGGTCACTCCTGAACCCTACTTGAGCCGTCTTGGGGCCCTCTTCGAGCTCTCCTTGGCCGTCTGGTGCGATCTTGGGGCCTTCTGGGACCCTCTTTGGCCGTCTTGGCGCGGTCGTGGAGGCCTCTGGGCGAATATAATAAAAATGCACGTTTTCCGAAGGGAATGGTGCCATGTTTGCTTCTGCAGGCCCTCTTTGGAGTCCTCTTGGATGCCTCTTGGGCCGTCTTGGGCGGATTGGGGGGCTGTCTGCGGACCATCTTCAGCTTCCTGGGGGCCTCTTGGAGGCCTCTTGGGGGCCTGTGGGGGGCCTCTTGGGGCATTCTGGATGCTTGGGGGGGCCTTCTGGGAGTCTCCGAGGGCTCTCTTTGGGGAGGAAGGCTGGAAATGTTAGGTCGGGTACCCCTGTGAGCCCTTTCTGGGAGCGGTCCTGGGGCCTTCTTGGGCTGCCTTGGGGGCCCCTAGGTCACTCCTGAACCCCACTTGAGCCGTCTTGGGGCCCTCTTCGAACTCTCTTTGGCCGTCCGGTGCGATCGTGAGGCCTTCTGGGACCCTCTTTGGCCGTCTTGGCGCGATCTTGGAGGCCCCTGGGCGAATATCATAAAAATGCACGTGTTCCGAAAGGAATGGGGCCATATTTGCTTCTGCGGGCCCTCTTGGGAGTCCTCTTGGATGCCTCTTGGGCCGTCTTGGGCGGATTGGGGGGCTGTCTGCAGACCATCTTCGGCTGCCTGGGGGGCTCTTGGAGGCCTCTTGGGGGCCTGTGGGGGGCCTCTTGGGGCATTCTGGATGCTTTGGAGGGCCTTGTTGGGGTCTCCTAGGGCTCTCTTTGGGGAGGAAGGCTGGAAATGTCAGGTCGGGTACCCCTGTGAGCCCTTTCTGGGAACGGTCCTGGGGCCTTCTTGGGCTGTCTTGGGCGCCTCTAAGGCACTCCTGAACCCCACTTGAGCCGTCTTGGGGCCCTCTTCGAGCTCTCCTTGGCCGTCTGGTGCGATCTTGGGGCCATCGGGGACCCTCTTTGGCCGTCTTGGCGCGGTCGTGGAGGCCTCTGGGCGAATAGTATAAAAAGGCACGGTTTCCGAAAGGAATGGGGCCATGTTTGCTTCTGCAGGCCCTTTTGGGAGTCTTGGATGCCTCTTGGGCCATCTTGGGCGGTTTGGGGGGCTGTCTGCGGACCATCTTCGGCTTTCTGGGGGCCTCTTGGAGGCCTCTTGGGGGCCTGTGGGGGGCCTCTTGGGGCATTCTGGATGCTTTGGGAGGCCTTCTGGGGGTCTCCGAGGGCTCTCTTTGGGGAGGAAGGCTGGAAATGTCAGGTCGGGTACCCCTGTAAGCCCTTTCTGGGAGCGGTCCTGGGGCCTTCTTGGGCTGTCTTGGGGGCCTCTAGGTCACTCCTGAACCCCACTTGAGCCGTCTTGGGGCCCTCTTCGAACTCTCTTTGGCCGCCTGGTGCGATCTTGGGGCCCTCTGGGGCCCTCTTTGGCCGTCGTGGCGCGATCTTGGAGGCCTCTGGGCGAATATTATAAAAAGGCACGGTTTCCGAAAGGAATGGGGCCATGTTTGCTTCTGCGGGCCCTCTTGGGAGTCCTCTTGGATGCCCCTTGGGCCGTCTTGGGCGGTTTGGTGGGCTGTCTGCGGACCATCTTCGGCGTCTTGGAGCGACAATTCGGTGATTGTGGGCGTCTTCGGCTGTTTGGAGGCCTCCTGAGGCCTCTTGAGGAGCTGTCCTGAACCGTCTCGGATCACCCCCAGAGCCCCTGGTACCCCCATGCCCCCTCGGGGCAGCCGCCCCGGGCGCCCGGGCGTCGTGCACGGTGATACATATATATATATATATATATATATATATTAGAACCATCGCGCGCGCTTCGCGCGCGCTCCGGTTCTACATAGCTTGGAGTCCAACGCTTGGCGACGAAGAGGCCCTAGCGGTCCCCAAGATGGCCCAACAAAAACCTACAAGTTGTCCCCAAGAGCGCACGAAGAACGGCCCAAAAGGCATCCAAGAGGCGAATTGTCAAAGCTTCTGCATGTGGACTTCCTGCTCGGCGGCGTCTTCAAATCCTCTTCATAGATGTGGACTTCCTGCTCGGCGGCGTCTTCAAATCCTCTTCTAATTATCTCTCTCTCTCTCTCTTTTTCTCCTCGTCCTGCTGCACCTCCTCCTCCTCCTCCCCCCGTTCCTCCTCGCTCCTCACTCCTCCTTGCCGTTCCTCCTCCCCCCCGCTCCTCCTCCTCCTCCTCCTCCTCCTCCTCCTCCCTCCTCCTCCTCTTCCTCCTCCTCCTCCTCCTCCTGCTCCTCCTCCTCCTCCTCCTCCTCCTCCTCCTCCTCCTCCTTGCTCCTCCCCTCCTCCTCCTCCTCCTCCTCCTCCTCCTCCTCCTCCTCCTCCTCCTCCTCCTCCACCTCCTCCTCCCCCCTCCACTCCTCCTCCTCCTCCTCCTCCTCCTCCTCCTCCTCCTCCTCCTCCTCCTTCTCCTCCCAAGAGGGCCCATGGAGAGCCCAGGACCGACGCAAAAGAGCCTCAAGCTGGCCCGAAAGGGCTTCCGGAGGGGACCATGACGGCCTAAGAGGACGCCTGGACGTCCCAAGGCGGCCCCAGGACGGCCCCCAAAGACCCCCGGAACCTTTGGGGCTGTCTTGGAAGCCTCTTGGGCTGTTTTGGGCGGTGGTGGGCCATCTGAGAAGCCTCTTCGAGCTGTCTTGGTGGCGTCTTGGGCTGTCTTGGAATCTCTTGGGGGCCTCTGGGACCAGCTTGGGGGCTTCACGGGGTATCCTGCAGATTCCTGGGGTGCTCTCCGGCCGGGGAGCGGAAACATCCGTTCCGAATCTTCGTCTGGGACCCCCCCGTGGAAGGGCCGTCTTGGGGGCATCTGGGGCTGTCGTGGACGCTGGGAAAGCGAATCAGGCGGATATGCGAAAATGTACAGTTTCCGAGCTCCCTCGGGATCGCCAGGGGTGCTTCGGGGCGTCCGGGCTCTTGGGGGCGTTTTGGAGCTTCTTGGGAGCGTCTCGGGGGCCTCTTCGGCGCTTCTTGGGCGCCCCTTGGGTGCTTCTTGAGGCCTCCTGGGGACCTCTAGGGACGGAGAGCTTCATATTTCCGTTCCAATACTCCCTCTGGCCCCCTTTTTTTCTGGTTACCGTCACACACTCCGCAGCAGACAAAGGAAGAGCGGCTGGCAAAAGCCGTCTCGGGACCATCGTGGGCGTCTTGGATCGGCCTTTGGGTGTTTCGGTTCCTTCTTGGAGCGTCTTCGGGGTCTTGTGACGCTTTCTTGTGGCGTTTTTCGCGCCTCCTGGGCCGTTTTGGGGGCGCGTCTTGAAGTTATTTGGGCCGTCTCGGGGCCATCGTGGGCGTCTTGGAGCGGCCTTTGGGCGTCCTGGGTCCCTCTTGGAGCGTCTTCGGGTTCTCTTGGCGCTTTCTTGTGGCGTTTTGCAGGCCTGAGGGCCCACCAAAAGGCCTGCACACCCACATTTGCGGTCCAGGGGCCGGCCCTGGGCCCACGGACCCGTGCGCCGTTATATATATATATATATATAGAGAGAGAGAGAGAGAGAGAGAGAGAGAGAGAGAGAGAAACAAACAAATATATTCTCATATTTTTACCTACCAAGCCCGGGCGGGGGGACCCCCTCCCCCACAAAAAAACGGATTCCCTGGATCTGGGGCTTGGGGACCCTCTGGACGGGCCTCAAAGCGGCCCCCTGGGCCTCGCAGGGCGTTTTGCCAAGCCTTGCCAGCACACCTAGGGCGATCAGGGGGGTCATCGGAGACGTCCCAGAGACCCCCACAACAGCACAACAGCGCTCCAAGAGTGACCGACGTGACCTCAAGATGGCCCAAGAGGCCTCCAGGACGGCCCCAAAGAGGCCTCCAAGAGCACTCCAAAGAAGGTCCCGAGAGGCAAAAATCATTGATGTTCTATTGGTTGTTGATTTTTTTTGTCCATGGAATTGAAGCCCCAGGGTCAAACTTGAGAACTCCTAGCCATCACCAGACGGTGGCGATTCGACCTTCGCGCCACTAACCTGCAAGCCGAGACCATGAACTGGGTCGCGCAAGGGCGTCCGAAGCCGCCTGGGAGGCTCCAAAATCGCCCCACGACCCCATCCGAAAGTGCTTCCAGGCAGTCCAAGAGAGCCCCAAATCGGCGCAACGCGGGTCCAAGATGGCCCTCAGAGAGCCCCATGGCGGCCCAAGATGGCCCCAAGACACCCTTCGAAGCATTCCAAATCGTGACCCCGTCGTTCAGGGAGACCGCGGTTGGAGGCATGGTGGCCCGAGGAAGCCCCCAGATGCTCCCAGAATACGCCCAGGAGGCCTCCAGAAGGCCGTAAGAAAGCCTGAAACAACCTTTTCGAGACCCCCAGGGGCTCTCTCTCCAAGGAGGAACCTCCGCAAAAAAGAGCCGAGGAGGATGGGGGGAATGCGCAGGGTATGGCGAACATGAGGAGAAAGAAGCATGAAGGAATGACAACGCATAACATTACCTATACGACCACCCTTCGGGTGATAAGGAGGTTGGGGGGGGGAGGAACCGACGTCTCACTCGATCGGTCTCACTATCGATCTCACTATCGATATCACTATCGATCTCACTATCGGTTTCGCTCCATCGATCTCACTCGGTCGATCTCACAATCGCTCTCACTCGATATATTTCATTCGATCGATCTCACAATCGATCTGACTATCGATTTCACAATCGATATCACTATCGATAGCACTATCGATATCACATTCAGTGTCACGATCGATCTCACTATCGATATCACAATCGATATCATAACCAACGCCATCATCAACATCATCGTCATCATCGTCATCAACATCAACATCAACATCATCATCATCATCATCATCATCATCATCATCATCATCATCATCATCATCATCATCATCATCATCATCATCGTCGTCATTATCATCATCATCAGCTTCATCAACATCATCGGAACACCACCATCATCATCACCCCATTACCATCATCATCAAGATCATCAGCATCATCACCAGCATCAGCAACGGGACACCATTATCGCCACCGTCATCCTCAACAACATCATCACCATCATCAGGACATTATCATCATCATCATCATCATCAACAACATCGGAACATCACCATCATCGCCATGATCATCATCATCATCATCATCATCATCATCTTCATGAACAACATCATCAACATAATCATCGGTACAGCATCCTCATCAATAACATCAGCATCATCAACATCATCGTCATCATCATCATCATCGGGACACCATCAGTATCGTCACCATCATCATCACCATCCTCATCATCATCATCATCATCATCATCATCATCATCATCGGGAGGCCATCATCATCACCACCATCATCATCATCATCATCGGGCCACCATCATACAAATCCTCATCACAACCTCATCATCATCCTCATCATCACCGGGACACCATGGCCGTCATCATCATCATCAACATCATCATCGGGACACCATCATCTTCATCACCATCATCATTATCAACAGCATCATCATCAACCTCATCATCACTATCATCATCGGGACACCATCATCATCATCATCTTCATCATCATCATCAACATCATCATCTCATCATCTCATCATCCGGATCATCAACAACATCATCAATTTCGATATGCCATCATCATCAGCAACATCAGCATCATCAACATCATCATCGGGGCACCGTCATCATCACCACCATGGCCATCATCATCACCATCATCATCATCAACGTCGTCACCATCATCGTCATTATCGGGACACCCTCCTCATCACCACCATCGCCGTCATCATCATCATCATCAACATCATCGACATCATCATCATCAGCATCATCATCATCATCATCATCATCATCATCATCATCATCATCATCATCATCATCATCATCATCATCATCATCATCATCATCATCATCATCATCATCTTCATTTTCATCATCGGGACACCGACGGGACACCGGCGGGACACCGCGCCTGGACGCTGGAAGGGAGTCATGTGGTCCGGCCGCGCATCAGCAAAAGCGGGACACCGGCGGGACACCGCGCGCCACCGGACGCCGGAAGGGAGACATTTGGTCTGGCCGCGCCTCAGCCACAGGAGACTTTCCTCTCGCCCGCCCAAGCAGCTTCGCCCCGTCCCTTCCCCCCAGAGCACCGCAGCAGTAGGAAAGCGTTCCGAAACGGTGAGAAATCATGTTCCCGGAAAGCGTTCAAGAATATGAATCGCACTTCGTCCAAGGCGCCTCGGAAGGCGCAGAATACTCCTCCAAGGCGCGGAATCATGTTCCCGGACCGCCTTCCGGGAACATGATGGGGACGACCTCCTGAGGGCCTCCAGTGGGCCTCTTTGGGGCCTCTCGGAGGCCTGTGGGGCTCTCCTGGAGGCGTCTTGGGGCGCGCTCAGGGCCATTTTTGGGCATCTTGGGGGCCTCTGGGGGCCTTCGGGGAGGCTCTTGGGGGCCTCTTTGGGGCCTCTTGGGGCCTCGCGAAGCCCTCTTGGGAACCGCTGGGCTCGCTTAGGCAATCTTGAAGCCCTGTCGGGGCACTCCTGGAACCGTCTTGGGCGGCTCCTGGGCCATCTTGGGGCTCTCCTGGGCCGTCTTGGGACGATTTTGGGGGTCTCTTGGGCCGTCTTGGGGCGGTCTTGGGGGCCTCTTCGGCCGTCTGGGAGCGGTTTTGGGAAACTCTTGGACGGTCTTGGAGCATCGGAACCCCGAAAAAGCGAGAAGGCCAAAAACCTAGAAAAAAAACAATAAAAATCAACGATTTTGGCTTGTCGGGGCTCTCTTGGGAGGCCTCTTGGGATGCCTTCGGGCCTCATGGAGCTCTCTTGGAACGTCTTCGGGCCTTCCTGGCCATTCCTGAGGCTATCTATGCGCGTCTTGGAGCGCTCGCGGGCCGTCTTGGGCGGTCTCGAACTGTTCCTGGCGGTCCCAGGGGCCCTCCAGGACGCTTCGGACGCTCCCGGGGGCGCCCTGCACCCCCCATGGAGATTACTGGCACCGCCCCGGGGCCCTACTCTGATATATATATATATATATATATACACACACACGTGTATACAGATATCGATTGCAGCATTATGTTGTTCCAGGTTGAAGCTGGGTTTGCTGCATTTCACGGGGAGGAGTCGTCATCCTGGTCCTCTGACAAGTTCTCGTAATCTTGCTCATGCCATCCCGCAGAGAGGAAAGTCGTGTGTATGGTAAAGAATGCCAGGAATGAAGCTATGGGCAGCGTGAACCAACTCTTCATGCACCCATAATCGAACTCGACGTCCATAGAATCAAACTTGCCCTCGAAATACATCGTGACAGCCATTATGAACTGCCAGCAAGAGGTAAACACGAGAACCGGAAGAGCAATGAAGATAAGCCTCCCACCGTTCTCCCACCATCTGCGAACCTGTTGTGTGGCGATTTTTTTCTTTTCCTGCGTAACGAACATCATTAAGTATAGGTAAAGGCAGACGATGGTGACCGTCGCCAGGAATAGCAACTCAAGCGATCCAAAAAGGGCGCCATAGATGTCGACAGCCTTGTCGACGTGGGAGAAGTCATTGAAAATGCAACCCCCAACCATCGACAGTACCAAGCCTGTCAGCAGAGCATAAATCTGCAACATCTTCTCGAGATCATCATACGACGGAGCCACGCTGAAAGCGAGCCCCACGACTGGGATTTGCTGACAATATCCAAGGAAGCCCATGCCGCCGGGAAATCAGGGGCGGAGGTCTCTCGCTGGTGCCCCTAAGCAGGAACTGCCTCCACGAGGAAGCGGGTGCGGGCAGGGCACCCTTGAGCCCAAATGGCTTGAGCCACAACTGCTGCGGAAGGCTGGAACAAGATGAGCTTGGGGGCTGTCCCGCAGTCGTTGTCCCTGTGGGACCCCCTGCGTGCCCGCACGGAAGGTCACGCTGGCGAAGGGCCACGATCACGCGCGAGCGCATGTACCCCGGGAGCTTCCAAGCCCGCCTCGCCCTCTTGGGATGGCCTGCGAGGGACCAGAGCATCACCATGGCCGCGAGCCGACCCGAAAGCCGAGAACCAGGAGTCGAATCGAACCAGCAAAGCCGACACGGGAGTCGAATCAAACATAATCGAAACGCACCAACCTCGGACCCGAACAGGCCGAACTGGACCGACAGGCCAGACGAGACCAAGCGAACCTGACCGGCGCACGCGGACAGGCGGAACTCCCAGCAGGGGGGGTTAAGCAAACCCTCCGACCCCCCCCCCTGGGGGTGTCAGACCCAAGGGGGGTCAACTCCGCAAACTCCTGACCCCCCCGGGGGGTCCTGACCCACCCCCTCGGGGCGAACAAACCCCCAGGCCCTCCCGGGCGGAGCAGGCCGACGCCCAAACTGGTGGTCAGGCTAACCCCCCAGAGGCGTCGAGCAATCTCCCTGACCACCACAGGGGGTTTCACACACTCCCTGGATCCCCCGGGGGGGTTCGTCCCTGGGCCCCTGGCACGACACGCAAGGGACCCAACCATGTGCAGTTCTTCGTACCGCACTTGTGAGTATCTTCTTCGGTGGCGCTCCGTATGGGGCCACGAAACGCGTGAGGGGTTTGCCGAAATCGGTGCGGCGGACGCATGTAGACGGTGGCACTGGGGCCTTCGGTGGAGCTCCCAATGGGGCCACGAAACGTGTGAGGGGTGTGCCGAGATTGGTGCGGGGGACGCATGTGGACTCTGGCATTGGTGGTTTCGGTGGAGTTCCCTGTGGGGCCACGAAACGCGTGAGAAGTGTGCCGAGATAGGCGCGGCGGGCGCATGCGAACGCAGCCATTGGGGTCGTCGGTGGAGCTCCCCCTGGCGACGCGAAGCGTGTAATGGGTTTGCTGACACGGGTGCGATGGGCGCATGCGAGAGCAGCCACTGGGGCCGTCGATGGCATTCCCGATGGGACCACGAAACGAGTGAGAGGTGTGCAGAAATGGGCGTGGTGGGCGCATGCGACTCCCCATGGTGCCGCGAGACGTGTGATGGGTGTGCCGAAATGGATGCGGTAGGCGTATACGAACGCAGCCACTGGCGCCTTCGGTGGGGTTCCCTGTGGGGCCATGAAACGTGTGAGGGGCGTGCTGGAATAGGTGCGGGTGACGCATGCGGGCAGTGGCACTGGAGACTTCGGTGGAGCTACGTATGGGGCCACGCAACGTGTGAGGGGCGTGCCGATATGGGCGTGCGCGACGCATGCGGGCGGCGGTACTGGGGCCTTCGGTGGAGCTCCCCATAGGGCCACGAAACGTGTGACGGGCGTGCCAAAATGGGTGTGCGTGACGCACGCGGGCGGTTGCACTGGGGCCTTCGGTGGAGCTCCGTATGGGGCCACGAAACGTGTGTGTGGGGGGGGGGGCGACATGGGTGTGCGTGACGCATGCGGGCGGCGGCATTGGAGCCCTCGGAGGGGCTCAACATGGGGCCACGCATCGCGTGAGGGGTGTGCCGAAATGCGTGCGCGCGACACACGGGCGGTGTCACTACGGCCTTCACTGGAGCTCCGTATGGGGCCACGAATCGTGCGAGCGGTGTGCCGAGATGAATGTGCCTGATTCGTGCGGGCGGTGGCACGCTTCGGCGGGGCTCACCATGGGGCCACGAAACGCGTGAGGGGTGTGCCGAAATGGGTGCGCGCGACACACGGGCGGTGTCACTACGGCCTTCACTGGAGCACCGTATGGGGCCACGAAACGTGCGAGGGGTGTGCCGGGATGAATGTGCCTGATGCGTGCGGGCGGTGGCACGCTTCGGCGGGGCTCACCATGGGGCCACGAAACGCGTGAGGGGTGTGCCGACATGGGTGCGCGCGACACACGGGCGGTGTCACTACGGCCTTCATTGGAACTCCGTATGGGGCCACGAAACGTGCGAGGGGTGTGCCGAAATGAATGTGCCTGATGCATGCCGGCGGTGGCACTGGGGCCCGCGGTGGAGCTCCCTGTGGGGCCACGAAACGTGCGAGGGGTGCGCCAAAATGAGGGGGGTGACGGGAGGAGGGAGAAGGGAGGAGGAGGAGGAGGAGGAGGAGGAGGAGGAGGAGGAGGAGGAGGAGGACGAGGAGCACACAGGACGCAGGACGCAGCATGGGACGAGGAACGGTCAGACAGGACCCCGCTCGCTCATACGGAGCCACCAGCCCCCCATTGCGGAGGCGGGTCGGGGGTGGCGCGAACCCCTTGGATGGCACCGGGCTCGCAGATCACCCCCCACTCCGCGAAGGAAAATTCGGCCCAACGGCGCGTGAGCCCGTCCTCCGCCGCGAGGATGGCGGCGGGGCCGCTGTCGAGGGCGACACCCAGCTTGCGGGCCGCGGCTGCCACCGGAGCCGGCGCCGCCGGAGCCGCTGGCCGCACAGGCGCCCCGCCACTCGCCGCAACCGCCACCACCGCCGAGGGCCGCGCGGAAGAGTGTCGGCCCAGCAGTCGTCCTCCAGGGGCGACGGCGGGGCCGCGACGCCCTCGCCCTATTGAGCCCCCAGCCGCGACCGCCGCTGCCGCCCCATCCGCCGCCGCCTCCACCACCACGGCGCTGGGAGGAGCCGCGGACTCGACGAGCATGCCAGCCGCACGGCGCTTCCTGGCGCGACGCCGCGTCCGCCGTGGCCGAGGGCCATCAGGCGGCGCGGCAGCCGCAGAAGCGCCAGGCAAGCCTGCGCCTCCACCATCGCAATCCCCACAAGAGGCGTCCGCACGCGGGCGCCGGGACTGGGCAGCCGGCTGCTCCGCCACGGCCGCGCGGCAGATGCCCTCCGCCGAGCGCAGCAAGCGGCAGGCCGCCACTGCGCTGCGCACAAGGCCAGCTGCCGAGCGCGACGCCAGGACCGCTCCGTGAACAGCCGCCAGGGAGCCACCCGAATGGGTTTCCGCTCCTGCACCGCCGCCACCGGAGCCCGCGGGAAACACGGCGGAGGCGCGCGCCCCGCGACTTGGGAGCGGTGCGAAACGGCTAGGAGGAGGAGGAGGAGGAGGAGGAGGAGGAGGAGGAGGAGGAGGAGGAGAGGAGGAGGAGGAGAGAGAGGGAGAGAGGAGGAGGAGAGGAGAGGAGAGGAGAGGAGAGGAGAGAGAGAGGAGAGGAGAGAGAGGAGAGGAGAGAGAGAGGAGGGGAGAGGAGGGAGAGAGAGAGAGAGAGAGAGGAGAGGAGGAGAGAGGAGAGAGGAGAGGAGAGGAGAGGAGAGGAGGAGGAGGAGAGGAGGGAGCGCGGGGACCGTCTCGTCAAAACGAGGACCCAACACCACAGGATGGTTGGGACGAGTAGGGGAGGAAAAAAAAGCGCGCCCCGCGAACTGGCAGCCCAAGCATGGCCAAAACCGGACCAGCCGAACCGGACGGCGATCTAAGCCGGACGGGCCGGACCGACCCTGAGGCACACCGAACCGACCGGACCGAACCGAACCGCTCCGAGCCAGTGCCAGCATGAGAACATATGCCCGCGGAGCCCAGGGCTGGAGGAGGAACGGTGGAAACGTGACCAAGACTTGGCGGCGCGCAGAGGGGGTAGTGGGAGGGAGGAAGGATTCTTAGAAGGAGGCTGTTTCTTAGAAGGCGCGGGCCTTACATTTATAGAGAATCCCCGCGCCTGCTAAGAAGCAGCCCACTTCTACGAAGCCTTCCCCCCACCCTACCCCCCTCTGCGCGTGGCCGAAAGACGTCCAGCAGGCCCGAGCTGGATCGACTCTCGAAAACGGGTCGGACCTGGAACGGGTCGTGTCGCCAGCGAGTCGTCCCGAACCGAATCGAAATCGCCCCGCCGCGCCCGGCTCCAGGCCGAACCTCCAACTTCAAAGCAGAATCAAGGAGGGGCAACGATAGGGGGGGGTCAGCCCCGGGGGGAGCACATCGGGAGCGGCCAAGAGGGAGGTGTCCAAGAGAGGGGGGTGCAAATCATGACCGTCGGCGTGTGCGCGGCCAAGCGGGGGGGCCAGGGACGTAATGAAATAAGTAGAGGCGCCATGAAATATGGGGAAACATCATGGCCCAGGCCATGATATCCACCCCCCCCTAGTCATCACCCCCCTCTGTTCCGCCCCCGAGCACAGCGACCTGGAATCGGCGGCACGTCGCCGGTATCGGGGATCTTCTGACCCGGGTCAATCCAGACCCGGGTCAGCAGGAAACCAAACACTGCAACGCAGGAAGAATACACTGCAGCGCAGGTCCTCGCAGACCCGGGTCAGCCAACAGGCGCCTGCCGCCTCGCGGCCACGAACGGCTCCCCAACCCGGGTCAGCCAAAGGGGGTCTTCGCAGGATCCTGCAGGATCCGGCGCCCTGGCTGACCCGGCGCTGGATTGGAGGAGGGGGAGAGGAGGAGGAGGAGGAGGAGGAGGAGGAGGAGGAGGAGGAGGTGCCCTGTCCCGAGGCACGTCGCCGGTACAGCGGCGAGGGGCCGCCGGAGGGCGCACCCGCACGCGGATCCTGGGCGGGGTGGGCCCCACCGGGCCGCTGTAGCGGCGGTGCGGAGGCGGGTGGTGGCTGATTCAATCGGGGATGGACAGACCTCCATTTAGTAAAACGTGGTTTAGTGAAAACGACCTCGGGCCCAAACCTGGCGGGCGCAAGCCTGGAAAATAACGGCCGCGGCGCCCTCTCGAGAACCGAAAACGGACAATTCACTAATCGACGTGTCACTGTTGGGGGTTCTGTCCATCCCCGATTCAAGGGGCACAAGGACACACGAGTAAATGCACACAACTAAGATGATGCCCCACAGTTTCCCATATCTTCTGGGTGTGTGTCTTCCCCCCCCATCCCCATATTTCCCCATATCTTCCTGGGAGTCGACGATTGACTGTGTCTGTGTGTCTCTTTCCCTCCGGATTGATGCGGCCCCGCCTGCCAGAGCCGCGCTGACGGCGATGTCGGTTCACGGCGATGGTGGGAACATGGTCCTTGCGACGCCGAACTCGCGCAGAGTAAACTGTAGAAAATCACGAACCACCCTTTCCGGCG